TTGGAATAAATATTAACCATATGAGCTATATTAAATATTATTTTTCAAGAAAATGCTGCATATAGGACTTCCAAGCAAGAGGGAGGTGTAGGTAGACACTGTGCCTCCTCGCACAACCAAAACAAGGACAACAACAATTTAGAAATAAAATAACAACTAGAACTGACAGAAAATTGAACTGTATGGAAGTCCGACAACCATGGAGTTAAAATAGACACATTTATCCAGACCCACAGGAGGGGCACAGTCAGGCAGCTGGGTGGAGAGGGGTCTCAGCAAAAAATGCAGTGGTACTAGGTGTGCGAGGCAGCAGCCGACAAACCCTGGGTGCACAAAACAGCAGCAGGCGGACTCTGGGCACTCGGGCGGTGGCTGGCAGACCCCTGGCGAGGAGTGGCAATGGGCAGACCCAGTGAGACAGCAATTGTGAAGCGAGGCATGGCGTGCTGGGCGGCTGGCTAATCTGGTGGTCCCACATTTGTGCACATTTAAACCAGGTGAAACTGGGGAGTGAGACAGACCTCGCAACCCAAGGACCCAGCGTCAGGAAATAAAGGCTCAAAACACCAATTGAAAATACCTTTGGGGGTTGAATTGCAGGGAGAGACTGCCAGCTTCACAGGAGAGTTTGTTGGAAAGACCCACAGGGTCCTAGAACATACACAAGCCCACCCACATGGGAATCAGCACCAGAAGGGCCCAGTTTGCTTGGAGGAAGTGGGGGAAGGGACTGAAATCCAACAGAGAGTGGAGCAAGCACCACTGTTCCCTCTCAGCCCACACACACTGCGTCACAAAGCAGCGACTGGGTTGCCCTGCGCTGGTGAACACCTAAGGTTCCACCCCTCAATGTAACAGGTGCAACAAGACAAAAAGGAGAGAGAGAGAGGGAAAGAGAGAGATGGCTCAAACAGAAGAAGAAATGAAAGCCCCAGAACCTATCAGATGCACAGTTCAAAGCACTGGTGATCAGGATGCTCAAAGAATAGGTTGATTTTGGTCATAAATTAGATGAAAAAAATGAAGGCTACACTAAGCGAAATGAAGGAAAATGCACAGGGAACCTATAGTGATGGGAAGAAAGCTGGGACTCAAATCAATGGAGTGGGCCAGAAGGAAGAAAGAAACAATCAAACAGAACAGAATGAAGAAACAAGGATTCAAAAAAATGAGGAGAGGCTTATGAACCTCCAGGACATCTTTAAATGTTCCAACATCCTAATTATAGGGGTACCAGAAGGGGAAGAGGAAGAACAAGTGGAAAAGTTATTTGAACAAATAATAAAGGAGAACTTTCCCAATCTGGCAAAGGAAAGAGACTTCCAGGAAGTCCAGGAAGCTCAGAGAGTCCCACAGAAGGTGGACCCAAGGAGGAACACACCAAGGCACATCATAATTACATTACCCAAGATTAAAATGAAAGGGAGAATCCTAGAAGCAGGAAGAGATAAGGAGACAGTGACCTACAAAGGAGTTCCCATGGGACTGTCAGCTGATTTCTCAAAAGAGACCTTGCAGGCAAGAAGGGGCTGGAAAGAAGTATTCCAAGTCATGAAAGACAAGGACCTACATCCCAGATTGCTCTATCCAGCAAAGCTTGCATTTAGAGTGGAAGGGCAGATAAAGTGTGTCTCAGATAAGGTCAAGTTTAAGGAGTTCATCATCACCAAGCCCTTACTATATGAAATGTTAAAGGGACTTATCTCAGAAAAAGATAAAACACATGTATAGTAAAATGACAGCAAACTCACAATTATTAACAACCACACCTAAAACAAAAACAAGAACTAAGCAAACAACTAGAACAGGATCAGAAGCACAGAAATGGAGATCACATGGAGGGTTAGCAACAGGGGAGTGGGAGGGGGAGAGAGGGGGAAAAGGTATGGAGAATAAGTAGCATAGACGGTAGGGAGAAAATAGACAGGTGGAGGGTAAGAATAGTATGGGAAATGTAGAAGCTAAAGAACTTATGACACATGGACATGAATTAAAGGGGGGGAATGTGGGTGGGAGAGAATGTAGAGGGTTGGGGGAATCAAGGGGGGAAATGGGACAATTGTAATAGCATAATCAATAAAATATATTTAAAAAATAAAATGCTGCGTATAATTTCAACAAAACAGTAGTATTTGCAAAGTGCACAGAGCAACACTATTGATAAGTGAAAATGCCAATATATGAAACTTAATGACAGCCTTAGTGCCTGAGCAACATCAGCTGAGCTGAAACCGGTTTGCAATACCATACATTGCACTTTCTAAACAGATCTGAAACATTTTATGACATTTCAACTGTATTATTCAACAGGACAGTCTCACAACATCATGAAGTAGATTAATTTTCTATTTGACACATCCAGTGCAGTTTAGGGCAAAGGAATATTTCTCTTTTAAATTGTGCAACATGATTGCATTTCTGTTATTTCTTATTAGGCATAGTTAAAATTGTCAGGCAAGAAAAATATTGAAACCCATAAAGGAGGTTTCATTGTAAACATTTACAAAAGCAGCTTAATAGAAAATTACAGACTGCTGCATTTAAATGGGCTTCCTGTAGTTTTATTTGTTTATAAAACAGATTATCTAATGAGGCATTATAATAGCAAAGAAAAAAAACTGTTGTTGTTTTAGTAGGTTTCAAAATCTTTTGCTGCTTCCCATTTTGAAATATGTTGCAGATTTTTAATTTATACCATATCAAGGCTTTAAATTACTTAATTATAAAGCTTATTGTGGAGGGTGAGAAGAAGAATGAATAAGGCATGATTTGGTGGGTAAACTTTCCATGGAGCATCCTGACCTGTGCATCTGAGTGGCTCTATAGCTTTGCCCGCAGTAAAATCATACTTCATGTCCTTAGGGATAGTTATATATAGTGTTGTGGTGTTGTTTGACTGACTTAATTGTAAAACTGTTTCATCCATTGATATGCTTTGCTGAACACTATAAATTTAATTTATGTCATATTTTTGCAAGGACAAAAACGTGATTTAGTAACAATCATTTAATTCCAATGACTTTTAGGACTGCAATGTTACTGGCTAGTGAAATCTGAATAACTCGGATTAGAGTGATGAAGAGGTAGCTGGCCTGGTTGCAAGGGTCTCCTGGGTTTTGTTTCTACGCTGGCTATGGCTTATTATGTAATTGGAAAAATTCTCTTTGCTTTGCTTTCACATCAATTAAAAAGGGGAGAGTATTGAAGATAATCTCTTAGGTTCTTTCAGGTTATGACAGCTATGATTCTAGCATTAGTTTCAATAATCTGTAACAAGTTTACTTTCCATTTCCACCATTGCATGAAGGAATGCCTCCCACACATTCCCTCTCTGTCAAATAAACTAACAAAGCAACAACTTTATTCAGTTGGAAGGTGTAGATTTCTGTTAATATATTTTTGTTCTTATTGTTGTTGAATCATGAAGATTTCACCGAGAGAATATGATTAAGCATTTGTAAAAATTTGGGTTCAATCTTGTTCTAGCATTAAAAACTAACACTTCAGTTCTTTTTCATGGCACCTCCAATTTCAAGATCCCACTGGGATTATGTGCTATGGTATTTACTGTCAGCTTAATGGATTTGACCTGTCTTTTAAAACAATGAGTCAGACGTGGTTCTTTTCTATAAAAAGATGTGAATATTATTTGAGCACTTACAGCATAAGAAGCAAAGGCCTGTATATTTTGTTTTTAACCACAAATATATTTTGCAAAATGCACAAAGCCAGAGTAGTGATAAATAAAATGCTAATACTGTAAAAAAAAACTTCTTTATAATCTTAATGCATTTTCAGCATCATCTGTATTGATATGTTTACAATAGCATATTTTCCACTTTTTTGAGCACGTTTTAAACATTCTTTGACTTTTCAATTTTATTATTCAACAGGAAATCCTCACAACCACGCCATGAGGTAGATAGCTTAACGTTCCATTTGGTAGATGGAAAACTTGAGAAGAAGCTATTATTGCATGATTCCTATAACACCATTCAATAGGTGAGACATAATTGAACTAGAAATAGTACATATAAACTCTGTTTTAAAAATCCACTTTTCCATATCTTAAATTTACTTAGTGGCCTTTTAGGTTTATTCCTCTCATTTTTTAAATTAAAATGTAATTGAATTGAATTAGTTATAGAACTATTTAAATCAATGTATACAGTTTCACAGACACATGTGCAAAAAGTTATCACAGTCTTCTGAAATATAAACATATTTACACAAAAGCACATATCCATTGTAATAGAACTTATAGAGTAGAAAATAAATTTTTTGTAGACAAATTTTTTTCTACCAGATACTGTGTTTAGCTTTAATATAAAAAGGGTCTATCATCCATCAAGCACATCTTGAATATGCTAAATATTCTCCAGGAAGCTCTGAATACAGTATAAAGATTTAAGTTTTTACTTTGTTTTTTCTGTTGATATTTAGTTACTAGTCTTCATTAACTCCAAAATTTGGTGTCATTTTCTTTTTAAAAGGAAAGTATAGATAGATGATCCTCTTCTGTTTATGGTATCTTAATATTGAGATGTAATTAAGTAGGAGTTTTTTTATATTTATCTTGTTTACATATATTACATATAAACACATACACATAAATTAACAAAACTTTCAGTCATTAAAGAAACAGGCAGGCTACATTTTTCCCCTGGTAAATCAGAGCAACAAATCCAGCACTTGAGGTCTCACATTGGAGGCCTGGAAATGAATCCAGCTACTCTGTAGTTATAACCCTGAGGCCAGATGGCCATGCAGCATATATTTTGAACCAAGTCTATAGGCAGACATGGTTCAAAATATATTAGTGAGACATAAAATGTGATTTTGAAAATCTAGTGGCACCTAATTTTTTTACAATGTGATTTAAAGTATTTTGAAATTGATTAAATGACTTTTAAAAAGCAAGGAGCAGTTTTTGAAAAGTGTATTTTTTATTGAGTCCAAAGGACATGAATAATTAATAGTAGTTCATACTATTGGTCTACTGTGTGCAGACACTGTTCTAAGTGCTTTATTTACTCATATTAGTGCATTTAATCCTAATAACAATCACATGAGTGGGCACCATTTTTACTGCCTCCATAAAGATGAAAGAGCTAATGCACAGTGATTAAGAAACCTGTACAAGGATAAACAGCTCAGATGAGGCACAGCCAGTCTTCAAGCTCAGGCAGCCTAATTGCAAAGCCTACACTTTCCATCACTAGATTTTGGTCTGTGTTAAGCCCCAAAGTCATTCATTCATCTGACAAATTACATTAACGTATCTTAAAACTCACAGAAGCATTTCTTTCCATTATAGGAAACATTTTATAGGATGTGATGTATACCAGGCACTGTCCTAAGTGCTTTATACAAATCAGCTCTCCCAACCTGACATTCTGATTGACATGTGACCTATCAGATAGCTGAAGACTTACAGGAGCACCAGTTACCATATATTAATGTAGATGTTTCTAAATAAATAATTGGATAGATCATTCCCTCAAAAATCTAGAGTGTTTGTCTTGTTACTAAATAATTTGACACCAACTCTGCTAGCCTAAGTCTTATCAGTTCTTTTCATCCTCCTTGCACCCATGAAAAAAATGTTCCCAAGAGTCTTTTCTATTCTCCATTCTGGTTTGACACTAACTGATGATGCTATTAAAAAATAAATCAGAAATGCTTGCTAACAATACAACATACATCCTTCAGTTAGTGCTTTTGTGTATAAAACAATGCAAGTTCAAATACATTTAAAGCTTTTTTAAATGGAAACTCTTGTGGTTAATGATAATGCTCTATTATTATTTAGAAGCCCAGGTTAGAGTTCAAGTTATATTGCAAATCCTATGCTTCTCCATTCTAGCCATTGAATGTCCAATCATCAGTGCTGGTATATTGAAGCCATGAATCCTTAGGAAAGGTTGTTGTTTGATTTTTTTTTTTTTTTGCGAGAAGAATTCCAAGTGCTCCAAGTATTATAGGAGGTAAGAATTTGGAAGCCCCAGAAGCTCTTCATATCCTGTGGAATATGATGGTCTTCATCTTCCATTGAGGAAAACCACTTATAAATATTCAGCATATTAATAAGTAATGCAGTTTCCCTTCTGAGTGAGGAGTTAGTGCTACCTATCATTCCCCATGTCTTCTTCCCTCAGGGTAGAAAGAGAGTTTGGTCACAGAGGCCACCTCGTAATATTGGATTGGTCTGAGTCTGAAGGACTTCTTGACTTCCAGCAAAAACACCAATCCAAACCACGTAACTATGAACAATATACAATATGCAGGAGTTTTAACTTTTGTGTCATGGATATAATTCATGGACAATTCACACTAGATACCAGTCTTTGAAGCAATCCAGTTTCGATACTGAGTCACTCTTGTATAGACACCAGGTTTTTTGGGGAGAGCACACGATTGTCCCCAACTTACTATACCAACAATGTACCAGATATCATGGTTATCATAAACCAGAGGTCCACCAGAATCACCCTGCAGAAAAAAAACACAGACATATTTAAAATTGTTAACTCTGATTTAATTCAGTAGGAAGGTCATTGCAATCATCTTTCTTCCACAGGGGAAACAAAAAGGGAAATTGATGCAAAGAACATACAGCCATACTAGAGACAGATCATATGATTATATAATGTTTCTCTTGATTGAGTTAAAATTGTATGCTAAACTTTAAACTTCATTTTTTCTAGAAAGACTAACATTCATATGGAATGGTTACATTATTTCTCGCTCAGCATCCTTGGATGTATGCATGATTTAGTGAGCATGTATATAAAATATTCAATATGAGGTTAATGCATAGATAAGGGATAAGGAAAGTTAGAATGGCTTCAAGTCTTCTGGCTTGTTAACAGAATGAAAGGGGATACCATTCACAGAGATACAAAACATAGGACCAAGGTCAGGTGATAAAGGGAATAAGAGGAGAATCAGATGCAACATTTTGAGTGAGATGTCTTTGAAATATCAAAGTGCAGTAGAATATACGTATAAGTCTGGAGGTAAAAGAAGAGGTTGAGGGAATATATAAATCTGGAGATCAAAGAGAAGGTTGGGGGTCTAAAAGTATAAATTTATGGATCATATGCAAAAAGATGATAATTGATGCAATGGAAGAGAGAGAGATCCTCTAGGGAGAAATTTTAAAGAGGAATAGGCACAGGACAGACCAAAATTTAATGTCTGGGGTTAATGGAATGTGAGAAGGCAGAGAAGCAATGGTCCACAGGTCTCTACAAAGTTGAAGAAAGACAACATTTTGTTCAGCTAACAAATATTTGTGCCTGGCACTGTTTTGGGTGTTGGTGATACAACGGTAGGCAAAATAAGCCCCCCAAATCTGTACCTTCATGGAGTTTATGATGCTAAACCAACTAAGTATAATATATTGTGTATTGTATGGTGATAAGAGCTAAAGATAAAAATAAAACCAAGAAGGGACACAGAGAACATATGTGTAAGGTGTGTATGGGGGGTGGGTAATGGTTGGTAGGTTGTGGCCTAGCACATAGCATGGCCAAGAGGGCAGGAATAGGTGAAAAGGAGGCAGGAAAGATTGGAGGGAGGTGTTAAATAGGAAGATTTTTGGAATTAGTGTTTGTATAGTTGGAACAGTTTTTGGTGACAAAAGTTCAGGATGTAGCTCTAGGAATAGGTGGCTGCAAAGTGGTGAGATCACTGGAAATCAGATCTAGAAACTCAGAATCCAGTATTTAAATATATCAGTGTTAATATTATAGGGCTTGGGATGAAGAAGAGACCTGTTTCAGGTTTCAAAGCCATTAGAAAATGAGAGAAAGGAGAGAGACTCAGAGGTGGGGGTAAAACAAGACACATGAGAAATGATAACAGACCTGAATAAAGCTGTCATCAAAGGAGAGATTTCTGTGCTTTTTTGTTTTCAATTTTAATAAAATAACAATAGACCATAAGAGTAATTGTGTGAACAAGAAACAGAAGCAACAGACTTCAATTTTCTAACTTGTAATATAATTAACATACTTGTTTGATCTCATATTAAATAAAATAAAATATAAAAAGTACTCAGTATTTTGCCTGGCACACAGTAAACATTTGACATAATAATTTTTGTTATTGTGATTATTAAGTAAACTGAGTCCTTGGTGAAATAGATCCCACTTTTTTCCTCCCAAGTAAAATATATGCCAAACTTAGAAATGCCTAATGGAAACTTTCCTTTTCATGTTTTGACCTTGACTTTGGACTTACCTTACATGCATCTACTTTCCCTTCCATGAATCCAGCACATAACATTCCTGAAGTTATCATACCATCATACACATCCTTTCTGTTACATACATCACTGCTTATGGTTTCCACCCTGGCTTGCCGAAGTTTATTTTGTGTAGGTCCTGTTACACAGACAAACAAATGAACAAAAACACGCTCTTCAAATAAAATTGTATCTAAGACATGGAAGACATATATAGTGTATATACCTAGGAGCAAAAGCACACTAATATTCTATTAACATTAATTGTTTATTGGGGACCACCCTGCCTGGTCTCAGGAAGCTGTAACCCCCCGTGACTTAGGCTGAGTGAGAGACCTCTGGACCAGGAGCCAAAACTTATTTCCCTGGCGTGAACACTGCCTGTTCTGTGCCTAACTTCCTATGCTTGATCAGTTAGCCAATGACGGGTAGGATTTCCCACAGAGGGAATTGCCTAAGACAGGCATGATCACTAGGAGGCCTCTGGGAAGAGACTCAGGGGCTGTGGAATGAAGGGGTAATGGACATCAACCCCTGCCCCCTTGGCTTTGTCAAAGCCTGAGTCCTTGTTCTTAGTTGTGAGAAATCCAAGTTTCCTGGCTGCCTTTGTCTCCTCTGTTGACTCAGGCCTGTGGAAATGACAGGGGCAGTGCAGCCCAGACCAGAGACGGCAGACCCCTGGGGTAATCATGCCTGGGACATAGAATATGCAAGATCCTGTGATATCTGTTTGCTGGAGGATGTTATTGGATTAGAATTTGAAGGCACAAACAGGAAACCAAAACTAGCCCTTTGAGTCCTGTTAGTCCTTTCAAATATTAAAATTCCAATCTCTGCCCAGAATCATAGTGGGGGTTCTGTCTGCACCTTTGAAAGTCACCTACTTCTTTTAATGTTTTCTGCCAGAGTGTGAATCCACAAACTAAGTCTGTATTCTCAATAAAAATCTGCTTGGGAATGAAAATGGGACACTCTCCACTAGAGAGAGTGGCCGTTTCATCCCTACTTCCCCATAGGACCTGCTTGTTTCTGTGTATGTTTTTCTCATGTTTCAACGAGCCATCCACAGTGTTCTGAGATCACTGCAGGCCGGTGAGCATGTGTCAACTGTTGTCTAATTTTATTTCTGTTTCATAAATGTCTACATTTGAGGAATCATAAATATACACAACCTAGAATTATATCAGTGGTTCTTCAAAAGCTATTGGAACCCTTGCAACTAAATGCAATATTACATATGTGTGTGTGTGTATTACACATTTTTTCCCATGAGGAGAAGGTCCATCACACTGATCTTGTCTAATTGGCACATTTTCCATATAAAGAAATTAAGGCTCAGGGAATTTGACTGATTTTCCAAAAGCTATTCAAACAGAGACCAGGCTATGTGCTGCATAGAGCTGTTTGTTTGCCCTACACTAGGATGTAGTGTGTTATTTGGGGGCACCCTGAAGCATGGGGAACAGAACTGATGTCCAGGACAAGCTAGCAATTGGACACCAGCAAGGCCAGGAGCTGGGAGGAGAGAATACTGCACAACTGAGTACAGGAAGAGAAGGAAGTAGCTCAGAGCTCCTGATTGAAACTGTCAGTGAGTATCGCTGAGTTACTTGGAAGGGAAGGGAAGACTGGAGGAGACTTATAACTTCATCTCACAAAGTCAAGTTGGAGGTGCATGGGGCATTTGGAAAATTTTACATATGATCAAGTTCTGTCAAAAAATAATAAAAATCAGATTAAGATATATTATCATTTGTCTCCTAGTTTCTTCAGGATATCCCTGATAAAACCTTAAATGTTTCTCATTTCCCCTTTTAAAATATTTCATTATTCTCTCTCTTTAAAACAATGAACTAGTACATAGAAATTTAAGTTCCGGTCTTCATTTGTAAAATTTTAGTACTGATGTCTTTTAAATCTCTTAGGAAGTGGGACATAGGAAAAGAAATACAGATTCTATTAACTAACCAAAATAAAAATTCACAGAGCACTGTTGTGGTTATAACCAATGTAAATCCTCATTAACATGAGGAGGAATTTTTTTTTTGAAAAATGATGTCATAAGATTGTGGTTTGAAATATAAACTAACCAGGGGTGTTTGCATATGGGAAATATACAATTCGGAATCATTTGCTCCCTTGTACTCCCGTGGCATTTTGTCCCTTCTTACAGCATGCAAAGCAGTCTGTTTATTTCTTCTATATTAGCCTCTCTCCTTTCTCACCCTTGTTTCAATTAACTGTGAACTCCTCAAAGACAGGAACCTGGTTTCTTTTACTTTTTAACCCACAGCCAACCTCCCACCCTGATCTTCTTGGGGCCATACACATTGGAAGCATCAACACTATTTTTATGAAAAATCTGAAGAGGGATTTCCTAAGCCAGCTTGTCAGAGTTTAAGAGATACTTATATTGGCAAATTACGTTGCACTACTCACCATCATCTACAATGGATCCAAACCCTGTGACAAATACACTTGCTTTAGGTGGCAGCTTTGTAGCTGCATCTGGGAGGCAAACTCTCTGGACTACATTTGAATAGTCAACTCGGGGAGTGAGCTGAGCCAAAGCAATGTCATTTTCATTTGTTTCTCTCCGGTAATTTTCATGAATAATAATTTTTCTCACATTTCGTTGTACTGAAGGTGGTGTTATAGTGATACCAAAAGTAGCAATCCATTGACTTGGGTCTTTATTTCTGTAAAACATTAAAGGGTAAAATTTATGATGCTTAACTATATTTTTAAAAAGATTGAGAGTATATTTCTTCCCAGCTATTGGCATTATGTGCCTGAAAAATCCTTATAGTGAGAGAATTTGAAATTGGTGACCTTATTGCAAAAAGAGGTTAAACACACTGATAATGTGAGACTATGAAAACCCTTCACATATTTTCATCCTCTAAAATTTCATACTCCAAAAAAAGCACAGCAACTAAATAAAATTTCAATGCTTCATTTGGGTTAATAATAATAATGGGTATTATACAATTAATTTCCAATCTTTGAATTTCTTGTTTATTAGAAACTCATTAGATTCTGTCTTCTATAATTTAAATTAAATGTAGCAATAGTAATTTTAAGTTGTTTTGGCTATTACACATGCTAAGAGACATTTCCCTCTGTATCAGACACTCTACCCATTCTTATTTGATGACTCATGTGTTGGCTCTTGTTTCCTGGGTCTTACTGTTATCCTTGAGATAAAGTGTACCTAATTTGTCTCTTGTGTATACAAACTCTCGTGTGTATACAAGATTGCTTCCTCACCTACGCCCAGACCCTGTCTGGATATTAAGGCCTAAGCAGCCCTGACTCAACATCACGCTGTGAGAGTTCTCACCACCCTTTGATCCGTCCCTTCTACTATTTTTGAGGCTCTCCCTTCACACATGCTTTAGTCTCCCACAAAATTACAGCACAAGCAACTGCTATGTCATACTACAATCTCTTCATCTTTATATTTTTCCCCAAAGTTCAGTCCTTCTTTTTCTTCTTATCCCCATCAACGATTAGAAATACACAGAAAATTGGAATTCTCTGTGTAGAGGAAAATTATGTAGAAGGAAATCACACAGAGGAGAGTTCATAAAGGGGATTTCCTTGTTTATACAGGGTTACTGTGTTGATGAATCACAAAAGCTTCAGTGTAATGAGAAGCTGAAAGATCAGTGGTTTTCAAAGTACTAGGCAATGCCCCAGGGTGAACAAGCAGAACAGGGTGTGGGGGAGTGGGGAGAGGACTGAGAAATGCCAAGGGCTCCTCTCTCAGCTGTTTTATTTCTTTATACTTAAAGGACATTTTTATTTAAAGCTGAAATCTTAGGGCTGAAGAACTCATTTGAAAAGTAGAATTCTGGGAGATACAAGATACATGTGACTTCAGTCCTCAAGGAGCTAATTGAATGGATAAAATAAAGTACCCCATCTCTTCATTCACTGTCAACCAGAAAGGAAGCTTCATGTAGTAGTGTAACAGGGTGCAGCCAAGAGGGGGACCCCAAATAGGGATTTGGAATGGGGTCCAGAACTCAAGGTGTTCAGGAAATATTAGGATATCCTCACCACCCCCCATAGGTGTGAGTTGGGGAAAGGGACAAATGGAACAGGGCCATTGAGAGCTGTTTTTCATAGCAACAGCTTTGCAGCTAACCTCTGGTGTGGTGATTTAACATATCTATAACCTTTAACTGGTTGCATAGATATGTTAAATAGCTGTGGCCTTGCTCTGAGCCAGGGGGATGGAAGTAACTTCCCCACCAAGATGTAACTGGGAGGCAGGTCCCCCAGTTACAGTGCCTGCAAGGGAGCTTGGAGAAGATTGGCTCCATGACATGGGGCCACACCTACCCAGACTCACAATGGCAGCCCAGTAAAGCTGGAAGGCTTTGAGAGTACTGACAGGTGTAACTGAGTGTGGGAGGAGTCGGACATGGGGCTGCAGAGGAGGATTGACGTAGGGATTTAAACCCAGATGCGACAGCCATTGCCAGGAGAACCATGCAGCTTTGGCAGAGTGGAGACTCCTGCGGCCATTGTGCAGAGAGAACCACGCGGCTGGGGCAGTGGAGAGAGAACCACTCAGTCTTTAGTAGAGTGGGGACTCCCACAGCCCTGCGAGAGAGAATCACCATGTGGCAATAGAAAGGAGAGCCACGAGGTTTTGCCAGAGTGGGGACCCCCACAACTTTAGAATGGGGAAGCACCACCCGGCTTTAGTAGAGATCCTGGCAACACAGCTGATGGTGCTGGGAACCGAGGGAGGCCTACCAGCTGAGATGGATTACTGGGAAGAACCAGAGGACTGCCTGAGACACGGACTTCTATTTCTTTCCCTGAGATACAGTACCCCAGACTGGGCAAAGTGGGGAAGGAAGGACTGTGTGTGTTTGTGGGTGTTTTAAGGGACTTTGGGATTTTGATGAAGACATTAGGTGACTACTTTAAGTCTGTATAGCATTAAATAAAACATTTCCTTTCCTTTTCATGAATCTCTCACATTGAGAGATGTCTTTCCTCTGGCGGCGGACATAATGAACCTAGGGGGTTTCTTTTGGGTAATAGTATATTGTCCCAGCCACCCCCCCCCCTTGTTGCTCTGTAACAGTAGGCCCCATTCAACATGCTTGTGGCTAGGGATACTGAGATTCAGAAGCTAAAAGGCTTGTCCCTGTGAGGAACATATCCAGCTGCTTAGTGTCAGGAAGAGAGGGCCCAGGCCTCACGCTCTCCTGTCAAAACCTTTTTTCCCTGCTAACACTATTTCACAAAGACAGGGATCTTTTTTAATGGTTGTAAATAAAATAACATTTGTCTTAAACATGATTTTTAAAAAATGCTCTTTCTATAGAATAAAAATTTAAAAGTTCTTTGGATAATTGTGACAGTATCTTCAAAAAAACACTGTATTTTTCCTTCACAACACTGTATATCATTGTGCATTGAAATTGTTACCATCCCCCAAATTGAACCCTATCCAAGGTCATTCTATTTCCCAATACTTTTAAGTTATAATTATCAGCATAAAATATGCCATCATTCGTATTTTAAGAAATCTTTCCTGTGAGTTCACAACCACCATCACCTGTCAAATTTCTCTGTTCCCATTTATTTAAAAATTACTTGAAAGTGGTATCTAAACTCACTGCATCCAACCCTTATTCTATCCTCCATTCCATTCATTCCCATCCCACCTTATCACCACAATTTCTCTTATTAAGGCCACCAGTTATCCCTATTTTACCATACTCCGTGGTCAATTCCCATTTGGGTCTTTTAGCACACAAAGACTACACTGGACCTGCTGAAACAGATATCTTAATTACTATAGCTTATATCCATCACTAAATATTAATAAATTGACATCTAGATTTATTTTTAATTTACATAAATAGAGATTAGTTATAAACAAAAATGGATGGCACTCCCCAAAACAAGTGTTAAAATTGGAGCACTATGTGAACAAAAATTCAGAAAGCCTTAAACAATTAGTAAAACAAGTTCATGTAAGGCATAATGCTAGTTATTTTGTCAATATAAAGGAGTCTCTTCTCTCTTCTCTTGAGAGTGACAGTCACCTTAAATTCATTAGGTCATTCCCCTGACACATCTACCCCCACAAATAAAAGTATAGGTACCTTATAAGGACAGTCAAGAGCCTCTTAGACTCACCAAAGATAATTTTCTTGAAAGGATGGTGTGAACAGTGCCACTGGCCAGGGCTGCATTCAGAGCCTTTACCTTTTGAGAGTTTAAAAGGAAAAACTTTCTGTACCCTAATGCTGAAACCTCTGGGAGGAAAAAAGGTGTGTCCCCTGATCATCTGGGGTAATAGGGTGCTTTGTATATCTGCACACAAGTACTGACAGAGCTAAGCTTTAAGAGCTACAACTATGAAAGCTCAAGCAGATTGCTCCTGCTGGGTCCCATATGACAAGGCTTCCTTACTGTGAGGGCAGAGACAGGATGGCAGGTCTCTCCTATCATCCACATACCTTTCTGGTCCACACAAGCAATAGGGGTTATTGGGGGATGCAGTTGGAAGGCATAACTTCAAGAGCAGTATCTTAGATTTAATCTTATTTATAAAGATATAGTGGATGTTGGTTGTGGGAAAATAGGACTAATTTTAAAAAAAGAAGTAGCTAAATTTTCTCCTTGCATATACAGAAAAGTTTAAACTTGTTACATGTATAATAACCAGTCTTTAAAATAATTTATGATATAGTAGGAAAGGTAACAGTAATGTCCTGATAATACAGGAAAATGTAGGGTGAGAGCCATGAGAGTGATATAAACCACACTCATAGTCATTTAGAGCTGGGAGAGGAGATGAACATGATCAAGGCATACAGCAAGCAAAATGCATTTTAAGGGACAGAGGAGGATCCATTCATAATGGAGCTCCATAATGGAACAGAAGATAAGCTGGAGACATTAGACTCTTCTCAAGCTTTGAATCAACTGATGGCAACTAATTACTGAATAAAGAAGACTCACAACAGCCCCTGTGAACTTACTTGCGGAAGCAGTGAGCTGCTGTGAGGAGCCACGTGTTACTGATGAGGGTGGCTCCGCACTGATGGCCTGCCCCTTTCAGCTGGAGGCTGGCCTGCCATGGCCACTCTCCTTCCATGGCTGTTTCGCTTCCTTGGACAATCCTTTCTATAGAAGTGTGTGCTGGTAATGGCAAGTTTGAAGATGTCATCCTTAGTCCACAGCCTGTCATAGAAATATACATTAGCTTGTTTTCATGAAAAGGAGGACAGAAAAGTGCATATACTAACTTGCATTGAGTACTGATGCTTAGATAATCCATTGCACCTGCTATTCTTTAACCCATTTCTAACACTCAGTCTCTGAGGTTATATGTAGGGTTCCTACTGATCTTATCAAGGTTCAGAAGAAATATTTAGTATTATTTCAAGGCATCCAATCCAGGAATCAACTTCTGTTTCTCTACATAAAGCATATATAGATGAATAAGTAGATTGGTAGATAATTTATTGATCACCAAAAATGTATAGAACCCATATGATGAGTACCTGTAAGAAGGGGATTGGGGGAGGTAGAAGAGGGTATAGACAAGTTAAATGGTGATGAAAGGAGACTTGGCTTGGGGTGGTGAACACACAATATATAGATGATGTATTATAGAATTGTACACCTATACATTTATTAACCAATGTCACCCTAATAAATTCAATAAAAAGACTTAACATGCTAAACGTTTTAGATACATTTACAAAAAACACTTTTCTTTTTTTTTAAGATGTATGTTTCTTTTTTAAAAAAGATTTTATTTATTTATTTTTAGAGAGGGAAGGCAGGGAGAAAGAGAGACAGAGAGAAACATCAATGTGTGGTTGCTGGGGGTTATGGCCTGCAACCCAGGAATGTACCCTGGCTGGGAATCGAACCTGGGACACTTTGGTTCCCAGCCCGCGCTCAATCCACTGAGCTATGCCAGCCAGGGCTAAAAAACACTTTTCAAAAGAGAAAATTCAGCCTTGGAAAGAGAACATAAATTGCTGGAGGTCACCCAGCTGGGTGACAGTTGGTAAGTGACAGTTGGACATAAAATGACAAAGATGTACATCAAAGTGTATAGTTTTACTGCTAAGAGAGAGCTCAGTAATGTAGGTCATGATTCTCCCTTGACATAAATCTATATGTTGTCTTTGCAAAACCCTAAATTTCAACAATGACCTTTTAAAGTACCATATGATCTTATTCATATGGAGAGTCTAGTGAACAACTAAACTAACAAACAAAATAGAGATAGACTTGTAGACAGAGAGCAGGCTGAGAGCCCTGGGAGGGTTGGGTAGGTGGGAGAGGCATAGAGGGATCAAGTGAAAAAAGAAAAACAAGAGAAAGAACTCATGGACACAAACAACAGTGTAGTAATTGTGGAGGGGAGAGGGTAGGTGGAGGTGGAAGAGTGTATGGTGGTAGAAAAATAATAAAATAAACATATATATCTCTATATATAGTAAGATAGATATATCTCCTTGAAAGAATAGTTTCTTCTAAAGTTTATTGGGGTTGACATTGGTTAATGACATTACATAAGTTTGAAATGTACATTCTATAATACATCTGAAGATTGCGTTGTGTGTTCACCACCACAAATCTAATCTCCCTCTGTTACCAAAATATTTGGCCCCCTTTATCTTTTTCATTCTCCTCCCACCCCCCACTCTCTCTAGTAACTGCCTTTCAGTTGTGTGTCCTACGATACAACAGTATCAGGGCCCCTTACATCAGATAATATATAATCTCAGAATACAAATATATTACTGAAAGTTATTTTCTACAAAAACTTTTAGGACACATTTGCTTGGTATCAGCAAAGACACGCAAGAAAATATGACCTTAATATAACAAAAGCAGGCAACTCTAAGAGAAAATATGCTGTGATAAGATCACATATAACAAAAGTGCTTTATATAATGAAATAAAGTTCAAGAAATCACTAAAAAAAATTAACAGATATAAAATCCATATGGACGAAGTAATGAGAAAAAAATGAGACCAGACAACTGATACAAGTTGTTTACATAATTATAGAATTGGTAAAAAATAATAATAATTCTTTCAGAATGCAGTGGAGAGTAACTTGAGCTGGAACTATAAATAATAATTGATATGAAGGGCAGAAAATGGACATTCAAATGCCTCATTTGTGTTTCTGAGTAAGAAAGAAATGAACAAATGAAACAGAATCAATCATCAAATTTATAATGGAAGAACATTTTTCCAGAATAAGAAAAAATATAGTGTCCACAGTGAAAACACCCTTGGTGCCCTAGTCAAAATTCAGTAAAAATACAACCACTTCTACATCTCTTGGTAAACAAGTTATAGAGATTTCCTATATTCATCAGGAACTAAAAAGATACCCTACATAAGAATAAAACTCACACCCGCCTTAGATTTCTATTCTATAGCAAAAATACTAGAAGAAAACAGAGTATCCTGTATAGAATTATTGGGAAAAGTTTATGAACCAATGATCCTAGAAGACATTGAAATAAAGGAAATGGAAAGATATTCTTACATCTGCAAACACTCAGACAATATACCATTTGTATAATTTTGTTTAAAATGACTTAAAGATATGGCTTAGCAGACCAAAAGGTAATGCTAAATTAAGACTCAAGAATGGAAAATAGTAAATATTAATATAACAGGAGATTTTAGTGACAAGTAAATAATTCTAACTATGGGGATAAAATGGAACATAATGTTTAAAAAACAATATTAATCAACTATTTACAGATTAAGTGACAAGTAAAATTGTGAAGTTATTTATATAAGACTGGAAAGTCAATTGAAGTTGAGGAGAGGAATTTAGACTGTGTTTTTCATTATGCGTATTTCTTGCTTTATCCTTGAGTTTGATAACTAAAAAGATAAAGGTTCATATATGGATTTAACAAACATAAAGGCAAGCAAGAAGATATGTATATTAAAAAATGTGTTAATAAAAAAGACAGAACTAAATGGAAGAAAAAATATTTACCAAAAGCCTGAAACATGAATGAGAACAAATATATATGAGTATTGACAATATTTGAAAATATGGTAAATTTTGCATGTCACATATAGAGAACATTCATTGTTTTTTAGTGTTCTTATAACACTTTAATGGACACATATTTTTCCATAAAAAAACATAAATATGTATCAGTTTTGGGAGTGGCGATACAAAAAATGACTGTAACAAATATTTTAACAAAAATGCAACCCCAAAGAAACCCCAAAATTTTAACAGGAAGAAGCCTAACTAGTTACAAATTTAAAGCACTCTGAATTGTGATAGTATATTAAAATATAATTATTTAATAAAATAGTAAAATAAAATGTCAGACATATAGGTACATATGTTATATCAAAAATGCTATGTACTTTTATCATAATCTGTAAGCTGGAAATTTTTAAATTGTATTTAGTATAAATTTATAAATTTAGACAGCTTAAAAGTAATAAACAATAATAAAAAACTAAGTGACAAAAATATAAAATGAACAAAAATTCTTGTTTCTTTTGTGATGATTATTTTATGTTATTGTATACATGAATATGAAGTCATTACATTGTACAGCTGAAATTAATATCATGTTATATTAATTATACCTCAATTTAAAAAACCCTTGCTATATTTTACTAACTTTTTATGGCTTTTATCCAGTATCTTTACTATAAAAGACACGGTTAATTGTGGGTTTTGGAACTTACGGCTGTTTAGAAGATTCCTCATCTTTTTGCTGTCAATAGCTGAAATAAACAAAACATGAATTAGTTGGTAGAAGGATATGTTCTTATTTTTATGTAATTTTTCTCAAATGGTCTCTTTAGGAAATGCTTACTCTCCAAAGCATGCGTATTTCAAAAGAGCATGAGATTTTTCATAGCCAAGTTCTAAATAACCCTCTACTCTGATTTAATCTCAAATGTATAAGTTTAATTTAAAATAAAAAGGGAGCATTTTGGTTTTAATTTTTGCTGAGAAATTAGAAAATTAGAAAAGAACGGTAAAGATAAATGTCCCTGATTGCTTTCTTTGGGAGCTTCAGTAAAACTCATGAAAGCAATCTCTGATTCCTATTACAATTGGTGCTCACTATATTAGGTGCACTAGCCTATGTGTAGTTAGTTATGTTGAAAAGGCAGCTCTGGAGAACTGAAGGCATTGCAGACCCCTCACAGCTCAATTTTCAGGCTTCGGTCTACAAGGGGTAGGAATGCATTTAATGCAGGTTGATGGCTTTCTCTCACTGAGGATTCTCTCTCACATGATTGGGCTCAGGCACCAGGCACTAGAGGCAGGAAGCTCTCTCATATACACCCAGTCCAGGGACACCACCCCACCACAATCTGTCCTCCACTTTATGCCTCCCTCTGTGACATCTTTTTCCTTCAAATATATCTCAGTGTTCATTTAAGCTCTGTGTCATTTAATTTTTGGTGGTTAGGTGTTTGTTTAATTTTGGTTATTTGTTAGAGAAAAAAAAGAGAAATATATGTAAGTTGCTCAGGAATGCTGACTTTCCCAAAAGAAGGATGTGAGTCCCAAATCATAATAGCGGTTTTCTGGATATTCCAATTCTCTTTGTTTAACAAGAGATTGGGTTGGCCTAAAAGTCTGTCTATTTTTTTCCATAAGATTGCTCTAGTTGCACTTAGTTGTCTTCAACCTCATTCAAAACAATTTTGTTAGACAGTATTTTGATAGTTGTCATATCACTGTGCATTAAAAAAACATCAAAATTGATGAATTTTTGTGTAGCTATTTTAATGTTGAAGATGGAAAAAATACACATCTTTTTGCATATTATGCTTTATTGTTTCAAGAAAGGTAAAACACAACTGAAACACAAAAAAAGATTTTTGCAATGTGTAGAGAAGGTGCTGTTACTGATCGAATGTGCAAAAGGTGGTTTGAGAAGGTTTGTGCTGGGGATTTGTCGCTGGGCAACGCTCAATGGTCAAGTAGACCCATTGAAGTTGATAGCGATCAAATCGAGACATAAATTGAGAACAATCAACATTACTATTAGGGAGATAGCTGACATACTCAAAATATCCAAATCAATAAAGTTATTGGTAAAACGAAAATGTATCTTTTATTTTATAGGAAAAACCATATAGACTTTCGGCAAACCCAATATGCATGTGGCAGAAAACAATATATACAGTAGGATTTTGACCACAAAATTCTATGATCACATCTGTTAAATAGAATATAGTTATTTTCATATTAAAGCAATGCATATAATAAAAATTCGGTGTACATGACCAAGAAGACTGAAAAAATTTTAATGGTAAAATGAGAAAGCCTACACTTTAACACCTCATTTGATGATAGATTTTTTACTTTAGCATACATGATCATGCATTAGGGGCAATTATATTTTCAGAAATTGAGATTTAGTTTGAGATTACCATTTGTAATATCCTGGAAAATACCAGGTTTTGTTTTAGAATATTATTGATTGATAATAAAGGTGGAAACCATACTCTTCATTATTACTAATTACTTCTTTAAAAACTTGTCATTAATGTCTATGGGGATTCCGTCTCACAATGTATTTATAGGAGTTTCCCCATTTCTAACAACATAGAAATTAACTTTAGACCACCTGTTTCTTAAATTCTTGGCTGCTGAGAGGGGAAATACTTTCACATCCAAAGAACAAGTCTTATTTTCTTGTATTAAATCAGAAGTAACTGAACTTTGAAATACTTAAGCAGAAGCAATAAGCAGAGCTGGAACACCTTTGGTATGTTAGAATATGCTAGAATTTAGGGAGAGGGATAAGAAAATAAAAAGATAAAATCCTGACATTGACACTTATGATCTTATTTGAAATACATTTTTTTTACTTTCTCTAATTAAGTATTGATATAAAAAATAGATATGCCTCTCAACTAGGATTGCAACTAACTTTGAGGTAATCTTAGTGTGAGTTTCATAACCTTTTTGAACTTAATTTTCCTCTACTTTTGAGGGAGAACATAACAATTTTCCCAATTTTTGTTTTATAAGGAATAAATGAAGACATAAATTAAAAAGCTTTAAATTGGAAATAAACTGGAGAACCACTTCACAGTTCATGTCATTGTTCTTCCTACAGGGGAAAACCTTCATAAAGATGTCTATTGCTTTGATACTTCAGAAGCTAATCCTGAGCTAACCTGTAAAGACCAGGTCTGGCCCCAAGGCTTGCTAGTCCCGTGCCTTACATCTTCCTTAAGTCTCAGCTTTCTTAAAATGATGAAAACAATACCCACTCTTTTATGTTTTTGAAAATACCTAACATTATAATACATAGGGAAAATGTAGAAAGTACAGAAGAGGACTAAACAAACATGAAACAAATATTCACAAAACTAAACTTTGCCTCAAAGTGAATTTTTATTTTAGTTTTATTCCACACTGATATATGAATATATCACTGAATTCTTAAAATGAAAGGTCACACTGACATAAATTCTTATGAGAGGATTGCAAGGAAGGGAATCACAAGGTGGTGTAAGAACTTACGTGTGAGTGTAAACGATGGTTTGTTTATAGTCAAAGGCAACTGCTTTGTCTTCAGATTTTGATATAAAATATTCTCAATTCTTTTCCTAATTTGCTCAGCAATCCCAGTAGATGGGTATCGAAACATGAGCACCATAAGAATGTTCACACCATTTTGATCTGGACTAAAGAACAAAAAAGCAGATAAATAGAGATAATAATAAAGCCAGTTCTCTAATCATTAATTACTTTAGATACGATTCACACTAAATTTAAAGTAATACAATGGATGGCATATGTGTATATCATATTTCTAAGTTATCTCTGAAATGCTGGTTAAGATACAAAACTGAAAAAAAAATTGTTCTCTGCCCTTACTTAGCTCATAGTCTGGAGGAGTTATGGGAGAAGGAGATGTTTATGAGCTCATGCTTTACATGCACTTAAAGGATTTGCTGTCTAAGGTACTTTGAGCCAAAGGTGTAACCATCATTATTCGTCAGAAGTGATGTGGAAAAGATAATGCTTTGTGTTCATGAAACCCAGGTTTCTTTGCCTTCTGAGAATAGATCTAGACTTAATGTCCTAGCCTCTCCTGCAGTTTATTGAAACTCCCTAGTGAATTCTAAACAATAGAATGTGAGCAGAAGTGACGTACCCCACTTCTAGGCCCAGACCCTAAAAACCTCTCATTCCATCTCCTGTGCCTTCTTTCTTCCATATCTGCCAACCAGGTGTGGAAAATCCAGGGAGCGATTCTGCCATCCCTGCCAGCATCCACATCCCCTCTGCCACTTCTGACTCTTTGAACTGAGCCTCCGAAATGAAATAAACCTTTATTGTGTTAAGCCATTGGTGTTTTGGGGGTTGATGATCAGTTAATACATGATAAGTAGATGATTAGAGAAAGCAGTTATACAAGGGAGTCTATTGATAAGATATCAATTTATACTATATATATCAAATATATACCAAATATATTTATACCAAATATATCAATTAATACTATAATGTATAGGTCTTGAAAAAGCCTCTGTCACCTTTTGAGAATGAATTTAATTGGAAACATATCACAAATACGTGAAGGATGAAGGAGAGGATGAAGAAAGTAAGGAAGGAACAAGTGTAGAGAGCAGAGAGGTAAGAAAAGGCAGGAGCTCCTTAACCATATGCATATTTACTTGACCATCAAGGAATAAAGCAGACAAATAAGTATTGAAAATACATATTTTTATATATTGATATCCATAGAAAAAATTTAATAACTTTCATTAAAAATGGGTAGAAAATATATTCTAATAAATGCCAAGCCTTGGATGGATTACAGTAATTTATCTTAGTCTCTGACAACAGTGTATGACCACTTTAAGAATTTATGGGTATCACCCTGGCTGGTGTAGCTCAGTGGATTGAGCGTGGGCTGTGAACCAAAGTGTTGCAAGTTCGATTCCCAGTCAGGATACATGCCTGGGTTGCAGGCCATGACCCCCAGCAACCACACATTGATGTTTCTCTCTCTCTCTCTTTCTCCCTCCCTTCCCTCTCTAAAAATAAATAAATAAAATGTTGAAAAAAATTTATGGGTATTGCCTTTTATAGGAGCATAAAAATGAAAGCATTAAAATGTAAAAATTATGGGGGAGAAGGGGGGCTGGGTTTTCGGGAACAACTATAAAGGACACATGGACAAAACCAAGGAGGGTTGGAATCAGGGGAGGAAGGTGGGGATGGCTGAGGTACAGGGGGAGTGGTAGGGGGTAAATGCAGACAACTGTACTTGAACAACAATAAGATTTTTTTAATTAAAAAATAGCAATAGAAATATAATGGCATTAAGGAAAATCCTTATTGCAGATCAAGTCATAGGCTGATTGCTGGGAAGGTTTAAAATGAGGACAAACAGAACTGGGCTAAGTTCTGCTGGGTCCCTTGCTTAAGGAGCAGGATATGTTGGCAGCTTTGTTCCTCCTCTGTGCATTAATTTCCTCTTGGAGAGCACCTTTATTTTTAATCCAATAAATGACATTGTCTCTTGTCATAGAGAGCACCTTACATCTTTCTATTGAGACTGGCAAATGACTAGGTAGTATCAAATGGGCTGCTCAAGATTCATGACATCTTTGTGTTCCAGCAAACATTAGCTCAGGAAGCTGAGCAATTGTGTTGATCCAATGCTTCTTAATGTACTGGTTTGAAGTTGCAAACCAAGGTTACCTACCTTATTTTGATAACATGAGATTTGACAAACCGACCTGCTCCCGAAGAACGTTGAAATATCCTAGACATCTGATTAGAAAAATTTTAAAAAGTATTAGTCTTAAGAAAAATGTTATGCCTCATCTTATCAAGAGACTTGAGGCACAACAAGGATTTCAGTTTATTCTCAGATATGTGCACAGGCTATTCACAGCAGTAAGACTAACTCAGGCTCTAATCCTTAGAGAATTGAACAACTGTAACAAAACTGTTCAATTTTGCTGAGCTCCTGTACATGGGATAATGACAATAGCTACCTCATAGAGTTATTTTGTGCATTAAATGAAGTAATGTATATCACACATTTCACACCTTGCCTGGCATATTGTCAACTAGCGATAATGTTCATTTTGATTATCATGAAATGAATTAAAATATCTGTGCTAATTTTCAAGGCAGCATCCTCACTTTTAAGAAAATCCACTGTAAGTTTTCCTTATTCTCAAATATGGCATGTAGTTCATTATTGATATTAATGTGTTGATTTCTTAAGTGATTATCCCATTACTACAGCATTTGACATAATATGTAACAACATCTATTGTGTGACTCTGACACCCTCACTTGTTGCTCATCTCTCTGTGGCAGGCTTGCTTTCACAACTGGTGCTAGATTTAGAAGTAAGTTTCACCACACTCCATACTGTTAGCATTTTATTACTCAGCTTTTCTGATCTGGGCCAGTCAGAGATTTTGAATGTTCAGTGAATTGATTTCCCATAGGGTTCTGATTTCCAAAAAGCTGTTAAGTTGCTGTTTTCGAGACAAAAACAACAGCAACACAAAACAACAACAAAAAAAAACCCCACTGAACTGAGAGTCAGATATTACAAGTCCATGTGAGTTTACATAGGCCCACATCCCTGGTTAATCTTGCCCCTCAATTACTGTATGCTCTGGGAAGAGGAAATATTGCCTTCTTCCCCATAAGATTCCTCCTTCTAAACTAGTAACAATGCTTGGTAGGTTTTACCTCATAAAATATTGATTCTGCATCCTTTCCTGCAACCCCACTGCTATGCTCTAAAATCATCTCCCTTGAACCTTGTGCCTTTGCATCTGTCCCTTTGCTGGCACGTTTGTGTGGTTCTACTCTATCTTTCCTCTTGTCAGTGGTTGCCCTGCAATGCTGGCAACCAGGATATTTCTAAAGTGCAAATCTGAGTGTTATACTCCTGTGTGAAGCCCAGTGTCTCCCTCTGTCTGAGCCCCACAGTCCTATCCTTTCATTGGCCCTTGCCCCACCCCTACATTCCAGGCCTATTATCTTATCTACTGAATGACCTGTTCTTTTCTAAACCTACTAAACTGGTTCACACATCTATGACTTTATACATACATTTCCTTCTTCCCACAATACACTTTTTATCTCAGGCTAGTTTCTTCAGTGACAATTCTGCTATTCTTTAGAAACTCCAGTGACAGCTAAATTATCATTGACTTGCCCTCCTCAAACAAAGTTAAACACTCCTTTATTTGGGCTACCACAGCATCTTGCACATGATTCTCTTATAGTGACTCTCAGGCCAGTTTGCAATTGTATTTTTCCCACTCTTGATGGTGAGCTATGTTACCACTGGGAATGTGTCTACTTCATTTTTCTATCTCCAGCATTTGGCACATTGCTTGGCCCACAGTAAACACTGAATGCATGTTTAATGAATAAACCCATGAATAAATACATGAGCAAATGAATGAAGAATCAACTCTCAAAGGAAGAAGATAATAACACATTGTTTCTGTTTCATCAGCAAATCATGTCACCAAAGGTTAAGTAGAAATCCATGGGAATCTAAAGTAAGGTGGGAGCCAAGAGACCCCAAGGTGACCTGTGCATGGATGGCCATTCCAGGGGTTTGAGTCGGTTCTGAGTTAGATCACTTATGGTTTCACTAAGCGTCTCTGAGCTCACTGTATTTCCATTTCTCAAGGAACAGGGAGAAAATATGATTTTAAGGTCTCCCACATTTTATATAAAGGCCCTCTGAAAATTTTAACTGTGTACATAATAGCACTTTGTGAAAAGATCAAGATTTTGTTACATAAGACTATAAAAAATTACCAAGAATCTCTTCAAACTAAAATGTGATATTAACAAGATGATGGTCCCCAGAGGTGTCAACCTCTATTTAAAAATGGGTGGATTCTGATAGAGTACAGTACTGGTATGACCATAAAGAACAGCTTACATGTGTTGACCCCACACTACAAGGTAGGTATGGGACTGATTCCTTTGTTTAAGCCTCACACGACCAAATGAGGAAAGTATTTTATTTATCTTCAGCAGCCCTATTGTATAGATGACTAAACTGAGGCTCAAGATACTTAAGTCAACTTTTCCAGAGTAGCATGGAAAGGGGTGGCTCTGCACTATGTGGTATACCTTAAACTAATATAATATTGAATGTCAACTGTAACTGAAAAGTTAAAAAAATAATGAAAAATATTCAAACAAAAATGCACATGTATGCAGGGCACTAGGAAAGCATAACCAAGTCTGAGGTTGTGAAAGCATACTGGTTAAGTACATTGTCAATTTGTGAGGTTGTCTCTTACTTAGGAGGCGACCGTAGAAACATCATTTAGTGTCTCTGCCTACGCGTCTTCACTTGTAAAAGGGGAGTTATACGATAATTACCTTGTAAAGTTGTTGTAAAGTTATAAAGCGTGAAGAACAAGAACAAAAGAAAGTAGTGGTTCTGGCACAAGAACCCAGGGAATCTGGCCCTAGATTTTGTGTTCTTAAGTCCAGTAAGTGACACTGACAATCCTGTGTTACTTATGTGACAACAGATGTTTGGGTAGGTGGGGTAGAGCAGTCCCAGGGTGGGAAACTCTGAAAGAAGGACTCAATACATCTTTTACTTCCTGACTCTGAGTCTCATAAAAGATAGCCTCTTGGGAGGTCACTCTTTGCTGCTTCTCAGTTTAGCCAGGCAAAGGGAACTGTTGCTCTCTAGATGCCTAGTTATCGTAAGCAGTTTCTGGAGATGTTTAACTCATGTTTATATTTTTCTAATAAAAACTCACTAGTATTACATTTAGTCCAAATTACAAAAATTAATTGTATCCTTCCCTGTTTTTGATTCAAACCATAAAGAACAGAGTATTTTATTGGAGATTATTCTATTTAAAACAAGAGTGTGTAAGTTTGTGGTAAAACAGAAGAGCTCTCCTTAAGATCAGATGCCAATTGTAGTCCTTGACTTGAACTCCAGCGTTAAAAAATGATACAACATGTTTGGAACAAAGTGTGGCTCTAAGAGGACACCCAGTTACTGTCTCTGGCAAGACTGGACTCGCACTTTCCCCTCTGGCTGGGAACTACATGCGGACTGTCCTCATGGAAGATCAGTAGTTACTGGATGCCAACTAAGGGATCCCTTTCCAGATCCATCTATGAAAACAAGTCAGGCAAATTCTGCAGGTTTCCTGGTACTGCCAGGGAAATATGTACCAGCAGAGGGCAAATATACTAAGAAAACAGATCCTGTCTCCCTTTTCTCTCCAAGAAAGCTTCCTGCTAGCTCAAAGGGATTTTTCTTTCCTCTGATCTCTTAAAATACTGATCATTTGGATCACATATTTGACAATTATTTTCTGCACTGTAGTAGCTCTCATACTGTTATATCATGTTTTTAGTTCTCATATTATCTACACTTTTAGTTTATATTATTTTCCATGCACAAACTTCCATATGTAAACCACATTGTAGACTCCAGTAAGGAAGGAACTGTATATTATACAGACTGGCATTCTCCACAGCCTTGCACAAAGTAGGTGTACAATAACATTTTAATTTAATGATGAATTCTTTGACTATGGTTAATCTTAAACAACAGTGTAAGGAAACAACAGTATGAAGAAAAAAATTCTGGCTTTTGCATCCTTTCGTGACTCTTTCACTAATTCCAATCTCCTTCCCTTTTTCACTTTTCTATTTGTTATTCAACAATTGATTGGGAGCCTCCTATATTACAGGTACTGTGAAAACACTGGATAAAGAGCAGGGAACAAAAAGTTGTGGTCCCTGGACTCACCGACTACAGAGGTAAACAGATAGACAGTAATAAGTAAATAGGCAACTAGTACAGTGAAGTGATACAGAGTAATGGCGGGGGAGTCTATAACAGGGAAGGGTTCTCGGTGGAAGAGACATTTAAGTGATATCTGAAGGATAAAAAGGAGTAAGCTACCAGGAGAGCAGTGCTGTGGGACAATCTTCCAGGTAGAAGAAACAGAATGTGCAGAGGATCCAAAAGAATGTCAATACAGGTAGAGCAGGAGAAGAGTATGAAAGTTAGGAATTGTTAGAGACCAAACATCTAGATCATTGGAGACCTTCATGAGGAGCTTGGAGACTTTTTTGTTTTGGGTTTTTTGGTTTTTTTTTGGTCCTCCAGGAAATCTTTTTTTTTTAATTTGTCAATTATAGTTGACATTCAATATTATTTCATATTAGTTTCAGATGTCTAGGATAATGGCTAGACATTTACATAATTTACAAAGTGACCCCCCCCATAAGTCTAGTATCTAGCTGGCCATAAGAAAGAATGATATCTTGCCATCTGTGACAACATGGATGTACCTAGAGAGTGTTATGTTCAGTGAAACAAGTCAGACAGAGAAAGACATGTACCACATGATTTCACTTACATGTGGAATCTAAAGAACAAAATAAATGAACAAACAAAACAGAAAGACTCATAGAAGAGCTTGAATTTTATTCTAAGTACATTCAGAAACCACTTACGAAATTTTAAACAAAATAATACTGTAATGTGTTTTTACAAGCTAATTCCAGTTGCTATGTAGACAAGATATTAGAGGGTGCCTGAAATGGAAGCAGTTATTACTGTGAGTTGTCTATAGAAAGAAAAATATTAGTTAGATATAGGATGGAGACAGTGAATTAGAAGTAGAAACATGACTTGTGAATGGGTCAGACATGAGCATAAGGGAAATGTAGGTATTCTAGCAACTAGACAAATAGTGATGTCACTTGTTGAGTGGGAAAAAAGGTGAATAAGAGTGGGATGGGGAAACACTTTCAAGAATTGGATTTAGATATGATAACTTTGAGGTGCCCGTGGGAGATTCAAGTGGAAATTTCACATAGACAATGAACCTCACAAGTCTGGAGTTCAGAGAAATCTGGGTTAGTGATTAAAATTTTTGAAATAGAGCTACTGTATATGTCAGTACTTCCCCACTTTTTTCTGCTGAGAGGACCCCTCCCTTCCTATAGAGAAGTCATCCTGTACTTCCATATATAGCTAAATTTACTCCCTCCTCTCATTTCTCACATGGGTAGAACAGTTTTATTCTCTTAGTTAAAGTGATTATAAGGATGGGCAAGTATTCCAAATTTGACCTAGTAGATTGGTTTTCCATACTTTCCTCCAAAGGACTATCACAGAAAATTGCCTTTTTCTGCCTCAGTAAATAACTTGAGAACATGTAGCTACTAACTATCTTCCCTGCCACGTGCATAACAATTTCTTTTAATTAAAAGCCTGTGGACATTGTTCGAGTCTCTGAATTCCTCCATACCTGAAGCCAGATGAATCTCTAGATTTTTCCAACAGTCTTATTCATCCTTCCTTCCTTCCTGTTTCCTTTCTTCCTCCTTCCCTCCCTCCCTCCCTCCCTTTCCTTTCCTTTCTTCTTTCCTCTTTCCATCTCCCTCCTCACCTCCCACTCTCTTCCATTCTTTCTTTTTTGATTCATTAATTGGGTTTCTGTTATTTTCTTCCAAATGTGTCCCATTCAACATGGGGAAGGATGAGGTCATTCATGGAGCAACAAAAGAAAGAGAAGCAAAGAAAGGATCATGCCTTTGGCAATCAGGAGGCCTAGGTAAATGGGACTTGTACTCTTTATAATCACATATAAGCAAATAAAGCTTTTCTTTTTAAGAAATTTCTTAAGAAACCAAATTTACTTAAGTGATGATGAATTGTGATGAAAGAGGAATACTAGCAGATATTTGTTTCCCAGCCATCCCCCAGCTTCTATAAGTCTTGATTGAAAATAGCTCACACTTATATTTCTCCTGAGGCCTGACCTTGTCTGACCTGAGCATCTGTTTCTGTGATGTCTCGTAGCTTTTTCTCCACCTTCTCTGGGCAGCCTTTGTTGTTATAACACAAATAGCCCAACCCTCTTACCTTTGTGTAGAACCAACCATCTGATGTATCAATAATTTAGGTTTCAGACTCCCTCAGAAATGAGTCTGAGCCTGCACTTCTGAAAGTACATCTTGGTCTAACTTCTTACTCTGTCCTTTGCTGTTGCCCTCACTTTCTTAAAAGAAGTTTCTGAAAGCCTTTGCTTAATAAATAGCTTAACCAAGAGTCTTCATCACAGACTGCACTTTTTGGGATTTAAACTATATAAGGATAGAGAATTTGGAGCTAGAGAATACTCTGCTATGCTTCTGCTCAAGTTATTTCATCCTCATAATTGTACAACCTAGGTACAACCTAGGTGTACCACCTTATCTTCAGTTCACAGAAAAAGAGATTGAGGCATGGGAAATTAAGTACCTATGACAACCACATTCAAAGTGAGGCAGAAAAACACATGTATAAACTTTTAAAAATTTCTATTGGGCTTACCATTCTCTCAATCTGATGACTCCTTTGTGTAAACTCTTTTGAGTTTTTTATTCCATAATTTTCTCTGTATTTTATGTTTGTAACTTGAAAAGAGGCAAGGTAATAAAATGACTTATCATCTGGAAGGTAAAAATAAACAAAAAAATCCATGCTTAAGTACAATCAGTTCCTTGTCCCCTAAACCCAGGAAATAGGCTTATTATAATGCAGCTTATTTCTTCTTAGTACAAAATTGATTGTGAACATTTTTTCAAATACTTTGTAATTTCATCAGTGTACTCAGCTAAAATAGAAAATTCAGGCCTTAGAGTATACTTTCATAATACCTCATTTATAGTGTTTTTGCATACCATTTTTTCCATATAATTGGATATGCAATGTACAATGAAAAGTAAATATTAAAAGCAATTGTGGAAAGTCACATAAAATTATCATGTTCTCAAAGAATTATATGTTCAAAAAATTATCAATGTCCTCAAAGAATTATAATATAGGTGTATCACAGCTAAGCTGTATTTTGAAGATACATCAAACAGGCTATCATTTTTTTCTATATTACTGATAAGTTTACTTAAATAGAAGCCTATATTTATTGTTTTCACTTTCTTTTTGCCTGTCCACTTTTCAGTTCTCTGAATTTTCTACCGATGCACCATTGAAACTGCCATTGTCAAGGGCTACATTTGTAATATCAAATGGCCAGATTTTTTTTCTTTCTTTTTTTCTTTCTTAGTTTCTTTGCAGCCTTAGCCATGTTCCCTGAAACTCCATCTTTAGCATTATGAAGCCATCTTCTAGTATTTTTCCCTCCTCCTTATCCATTCCTTTTCATTTACCTTGAGGAACTCTTTATTCCTACTTTTATCTTGAGCCACCCAATATTCTATCCTTGACTGGTCACATTAAATACGTCCTTCTGAGTGATCCTAACTGTGAGAGCCTCAATTATCAACTATCTGTTGATATTAAAAGATAAACCAAGTCATATTTAAATTTTCAACTTTCTTATGCAAATTCCAATGGGACAGTGACAAATCAAAAGTAGTTAGGAGCACTCCATTGACAGTAACTAAGGGAAATTTTTATAGAGAAGATACAGAAGAAAAGCAAGGATATTATTTGTTTGGCTACACCTTAATTAAGTGGTTGACTTATGTGAGAAAGCCTGTTTGTGATTGGTTGTTTTTAAGTTTCATTTTCTCAGATAAGAGTGGATGGACTCTGGTTTAGGTTTTGGTCTGCTTACATAGGCTACCAAGGTATTAGAACCACCTCAGTTCAATGACCTTCCTATTTAACAATTGATGACTCCAATATTTTTATCTCTAGACCAGATTTCCACCATGAGTTTCAATTCTGTAACAAATGACTTCGAAGATTATTCATTGGACATCTGATAGGCATCGTATGTATTTCCAAAGGGAAATAATTATTTACCTCTTCCTCTACTCACACCTACTCTACTTTTCATATTTTCTGTCTTCATGAACACTGCCATCATCCACACAGTCACCCAAAGCTTGGCTTCATCTTCATTTTCAATATTAAATCAGTCTTGCAGTTTCTAAGTTCTATGAATGCAACCTATTGATAATCCTCAAATCATTTATCCCATCCAGAAAAACTACAATCTTAATTCAGGATCAGTCACCTGGATACCGTCTATCCACACCAAATAACTTTTCTATAAAAAAAGAAGTCCCCCTATTTAGATAATCTATCTTAAATGCTACCATTACAATCCACTTCATCACCCAGACAAGAAATTTGGGGGTGATCTTTGATCTCTTCCTAATAAAACACCAAGGTCTGACAAGTTGTCGCCCAAATTGTTAAAATCCATTCTCTATTCACAAATGCTACTGCCAGCAGTGTTCTAGGTCATTTCCTCATCTTTTATTGTCTAGAAAAGGTAATAGCTTTCTAATTATTACCTGGCTTCAGGTTCTGTTTTCCTTAAATCTATTTCCCACATAGTGGAAGAATGATCTTTCTCCATTTAAAAATATTGAACAAATTGCTTCTCCAACTAAAGAACTTTGGTTTTTCTCCATTTCCTATGATAAGGAGTCCCAATCCTTTGCAATGATCTACAGAGGTTTTTCTTGACCTAGATCCTGCTGGCATCTTGAGCATATTCTTTACCATATTACCTTTAGGATTTATATTAAAACTACAGCAAACAGCATGCATTTATCTGCATTTAACATGCTGATTTTTTTGCATTTCAAAATGAGGTACTATTTCAGGTGATACAAGTAAAGGGACCAATACCTTAGCTTCTCATAAGCAAAAAATTAAATAAATAAATGTTTCAATATTCAACATTTATTAAGTACATTTTATATCAGACTATGCTCAGCATTCTAATTTTTAATTAGATTATTAATTATTCATTTTAAAACATTTTTCAAATGATAAATGCTATATCAGAAACTTTGGAATTAATAGATGAGTATATATGAGAATAAAAATAATCTGTAGCCTTAACATCTAGAAGTAACTTATATTGTTATTTTTGCCTTTCTTTAAAAAAATATTGTTTTAATTGACTGAAGTTTGGTGAAGTAAAAAGGTAACATTTTAAGATCTCACAACTGGTATATATTGGTTTTGAAATCAAAACATTTAGACTTGACCCTGAATCTCATGGCGGAACACACAGGATGCAGTCCTGGGAGTGGAGCAGGTCCTGAAGAATGAGAGGACACATGATGCTGTCCTAGTTCAGGCTTCACTTGCATTTTCAAACAGTAAGCTTTAAAAAAGCCTTAGAAAGTTGAGTTGCTGGATTTTGTGAAAATACAATACTAAAGACTATGTTCTTCAAAATAAAACAGATTTGTATTTATACCATATCAAAAGATGTACTAAAAAATCCTAAATAATCCTGAAAAAATTAATCTGGATCATAAAAATATTTGTTGAAAAATGTAACTTACTATATAATTCTAAGTAACTAAAAAATAAATACCAGATAACCGGGAAACTCAGTTTCTGAAATTTTCTAGTTATTTTCATATTTCATGTGAATGGTGGTAGTGATTTCATTCATTAATATTAAAGATCCTTATATAATTATGAAGGTATAGTCATTATATATATATAGATATATATAGAGAGAGAAAGAGAGCGATACCTCCCATTATATTTCTCATTGGCATAACATATTTGTAACACATACAATGACAATAAATATACATCCAGAAGAAAAAAGAACTACCCAAATCAATAGGGAAAGACAGATAACAATAAAAAAATGGAGAAAAAATGGAGAAAAGATTCACAAAAAAGGTAGATCTAAATGGTCAATTAATATATGGATAGGTGTCCACTGGTAGTCAGAAAAATACAAATTAAAATTACAATGATAACACTACAATGTACACCAAGTTAGCAAATATATAAAGGTATGCCAACAGCAAATGTCATGTGTATATAAGAAGCAACAGGAGCGCCTATACAGCTCTGGTAGAAAAAGTTTGGTAGTATTCATAAAGTTAAAAAATCACATGCCCAGCAACCCAGCAATTCTACACCTGCATATGGTCCCCAGACAAACTGTAACACAGGCATATGATATATATATATAAGAAGGTTCATAGCAGTATTGTTTAATATCTAAAACCTGGAACCACCCACGCCCATGAATATTTGAATAGATAAGTCAATTATGGCATGTTTAAGACAATGGAATATTAGTAGGTAGTATTGAAAGAAGATTGTCTAAAGCTGCCTACAAAAAATTGGCTGTCTCCTGCAACAGTATTGAGTAGAAACAAAGCTCAGAAAATATTTATAACATTGTTATACTTTTTTTATGTTCAAATGGGATTGTATTTTAAAATATTTTCTTTTCTTTTGATTAAATTCAAAAGGTGAATCAAAATGGAAATTCCAAAGGTAAACAACAATCCAAAGGTTAAATTGTAAGTCATATGATTCTGTAAAATTTTAAACAAAATCTCAGTTACATGTGATTATAAATAGCAAATAAATCTTGGTCGATTGCCATTTTGTTTAACTGTGGTATTAACAATCTATTTTTACACATAATGTAAAATTATTCCTAAAGTTTTTCTTCTTTCCCCCTGTCATGAAACAATCTTTTTCCTTCAAAAATAATGTTTGGTCTTTAACCCTTTAAAATATTTTTAGGTAACTTTTCTCATATCATCAGCATTTCTTGGGGCAACTCAAAGTATGATTTTGAGAAAAGTATGTTAAACTCAGAACATGATGTGGTTTATCTTTAATGTGAAGATAATCGTTCATTCTTTCTCTTTTTAAATATGTATTTCCTTTAGCTGTGTCTATCCACATTGCAAGCTTCACTGGATAGAAATATGTAACAAAGAGTTTGATACCGGAGCAAACTATAATTTAACATCAGTAAAAGGTTAGTAATTAAAATGTTAATATCATGCAAATGGCACTTTTTATACAACAGTTTCAAGATATTAAGTAATGGAGCTCTTAGGCAATAGAAATGTGACCTGGATACTTACCCTCAACAACAAAATGAGCAACAATGCCAATTGTAATTCCTATGATTGCTACTATTACCAATGTGAAAATAGCTAGCCGGATAGGGTCCCAATATTGTTGTTGTCTTCTCTGGTACTCAACTTGAGGGTAATTAGCTTCTGAAAATTCAACTGGTCTGTGATAATAGAAGGAAACAAACAGTAAACACTAAGGCAAAATAATATTCATTATGACTCTATCTTCACTTGCTTTATCACTCTATGAAAATAGTTTATACTGCTAAATCACAAAAGTTTACTTTGATATTGAAAAGAACACAAAATTTTAATTTACTTACTCTCTCCCAACATGCTAATTGCAGTATAAGTTTTAGTTAAATATGTACTGATATTGACATTCAAATGGGAATATCTTCCCACTTTATTCTGTCTGATGTATTGGCAATTTGAAATGCAGGGGATGAAATACAAAGACGCAATTAAAGTAAAGCTAATTAATAAACAATATCTTCATATTTTAATGTGGGAGTTTAGCAATAAAGTTATATAATAATTTCATCAGTTTTATTTGATTAAAGATAAAAGATCTTAATATGAACATTTCTTGAATTTAATACTTTTTACAATTTCTTAGTGGCTCGTTTTAAAAGTCACAATGTTACTTTTGAAGACCTGATCCTGGTTCTTCACATTTTATTAGCACCTCCCCATAAGTCACAAAACTTCAACTGCCCTTGAGAAGAAGACTCCAGTCCTCAGGAAGACATTTTATTTCCACTTGACTCTTACCTGTCCAACTTAGGCACTACCTGCCCACCCGCAAATTTCTTAAGCCATTTATAAATTATCTTTCTCCAACTTGAAAGTTGGCATTATTTACTTTATTTTCTGAACCCCCTCATGGGATTCAGTATATAACATCTTACAAGTAAGATATTTGGCAGCATTTTTGTTTTTAATTTTATTTAACAAATATCTATTTAAATTTATTCATTAAATGAGATAATAAAAAGTCCTTGGAATAGTACCTACCACATTATAGTAATATTTCAGAAACTGTTCTATTGTCCTAGAGGTATAACAATTTTCAGATTTATTCTTTGCCCCTAGGATACCCACACTATAAATAGAGATACAGATGTGAAAACAAGTATTTAATGTGTAGTGTGAACTGTGCCAAAATAAAACTGTATGAGAAAACAGTTAATTTTTTGGAGGGCTGCAAGTGTTGGAAGATTTTATCAAGAAGGCAACATGATTAAAACTTTGAGTGATAAAAGTTCTCCAAGTATAGAAAATGAAAAGGAAAAATAGTATGGGGGGGGGGCAAATAAAAACTAAATAAAACCAACATTAAAAACTAGTGATGTAAAACAGCATTCATTACTAATAACTAGCACTGGAAATAAAAATACATACATAAAATATGCTTTTGCCCTCAAAGAATTTATGATCTCCCAAAGTATGTCCACAGCTGAAAGTTATTCACAGCACTGCAGTACTAGAAGGAGGATATGGTAAAGCTGGTGGGCTGGACAGATCACCAGCAATCTCATAACCCCAAGAGGTAGGAATGGATTCTGCAGGAGATGAGGGCAAATAAAGGTTTTAATCAGACTGAGAAAATAGAATAATCACAGAGGAATGAAGGAGAATGGAAATTAGAGCCAAAGTGCAGACAGGAAGATGGTTTAGCGGTCGTTTTGAAGGTCCCAGAGAATGACCGTGAAGGTTTGAACTGTGGCGGAGGCAGTGGAGGGCAGAGGAGGAGATGGACTTAGTCCTTGAGTGTTGTTGACTGGTTGCTTAGCTGTGAGACAAGAAGAAGAATAATGTTTCCCTTGTTTCAATGTTCAGGTAAATGATTGTGCCTCTAAGCAAAATGCGGAAGATGAAATGAATAGAAAGCGTTTCCAACGTGGCATCAATGTTGTTAGTAATGAGTGATGTATTGTTCTTACGCTTGAGTCTGAGCCACGTGGAAAGTATTCATTTATGCCCTTTGTCCTGGGCTCATTTTATTTTAGTTGTGTCACTGACACCTGTTTGCGTGACTCTAATAAAAGTAACTGTTAAAGCTAGTGCCACACAACCCCAAACAAGTTTCTAATGTCCCCAAGTACAATGTCTACCTTCTCACCTAAGTGATGTTACCATTTCAAAATCTCCCCCCCCACACTTTGCCCAAGTTTTGTTAATTTGATTGCTATACACTGAGCTCTTCAAGAAGCAAAAATAAAATTCTGTCATATTTACAGGGGTGATGACTATGTGTTACATCATGATAACACCACATCATAGTAAAAGAGATTTTATCATGGTCATAGAGAATTTTAAAGTGACTTTTGTTTGCCTATGGGCTATTTTCAGTTTGATATCTTGGAATGCTGACTTTTGTTTCATGTGGAAGTTGAAATGTGTTTTACCAAATATTTATTTCAGTGTTTGGAAGTAGAAACTGGCAGGACCAGTATGCTGATATCAGCTAATTGCAAAGGAACTGGTGTTGACCCTCAATAAACAAAAATTCAAAGCACTCTTAAGTTTGCAATAAACTTTCAGGACTTTGCTACAGTAAGTTAGAAATATATGTTTTAAATGTGTAACTGGTTCAAATTTTGAAAAATACTTTTTATTTTGATGATATTTAAATCCCCTTTATATAGTTCTACATGTGCTTATATTTGCACATGACAATTATTTATTCATTTATTCTGAATATGAAACTTTTTAATAGTACCTTGTATTGCATCTGTTTAAAGGAGAATATTAAACATAAATTTATTCCTTTGTGTTTAGTTTTTGAAAGAAAGGTTGTTTGCTTTGTCTTGCTTTATTCTCTTCTTGATAAAGTAAAATAAAAATAAAAATGGAAAAGATAAATGGAGAAGGAAAGGGCAACTCAAACTTACTCCACCATTAAAGCAAACTTTTTAAAGTTAAATGCAAAATATTGGTATATGTTCAAACTTATTGACTGCATTTTTAGGATGGAAGTGAACACAGATCAATGGGGTTTAATTCTGGTTTTCCTACTATCAGTAAGTTAGTTAAATTCTAGACTTAGTCTTCTAATGTGTAAAATGAAGAATAGAAACCTTTTGTGACTTTAAGATCCAAAACAGTACAAGTACATAATACAAGTAAAGAATCAGGGGGTAATTCTGTTTATTTCCTTCACAGAGCTAACTGCTTTGTTTTGCTTCATTTTATTCTGTTTTAGGTCTTTAAATATAATTCTTCAGAGCAAATTGGTAGTTACAAAATAGTTTCAGGGATGTAAAGTACAGCATAGGGAATATAGTCGATAATATTGTAATAACTATGTATGGTGCCAGGTGAGTACTAACATTATCAGAGGTATCACTTTGTAAATTATATAAATGTCTAATGACTATGCTGTACACTGAAACTAATGGAAAATAACAGTGAATGTCAAATTTAATTTAAATATATATATACAATTTTTCAGATGACCTGGCAATTGGTAATAAAGTATATTTCATATTTTCTGCAGTTATCTATAGTTCAACACAATTACTTTCAAGGTCACTCATATACTTACTTTTCTTTATGAAAATCATAGTTTCTGATTTGCAAAATCAATTAATAAACTGATCTCTAAATGCAGAAACACTGAGAATATAAATATATTAGTTTTCAGTGCAAAAATGCTCAGACCAGTTAGACTGATTCTACATACTAACCACTCAGTACAATTAAAATAAAAGCATAAAATTCAGCATCAGAAATCCAAGGGTTCAAACCTTGTTTAGTCACATACTGACTCTGTTATCTTAATGTCTCTAATTCTAAGAACACTTTGTGTGTTAAATTAGTACTATACTATCCCTCACTTCTCAAGGTGGTTGTGAGGATTTTTTAAAATATCATGTAGAGATAACTCATAATTTCTGAAGAACTATAGGAATAGGAATTGTCAGAAAACATACTATGGAGAAAAATAACAAATTATTGTATTACTTTTGAACCCTAATATCTAACATAATTCCTTACATGAATTTTGTTGTTCTTTGAATAAATGAATGAATAATAAAGAAATGCAGTCTAGATCCTAGATCTAGAAAAAAAATTTGTATACAAAAGCTGAATTCTAAAACATAAGTGCTACTATTAAATACTCAAGAAGAAATTATTCCATAAACACGCACCATGTTTTAGGTGCTAATACTTACTGGACACACAATGAACCAAATGCAAATGCATGGTCCTTCTTGCTGGAGTGCTCACTATATGAAATGGGAGGCAGGTAAAACTAGTAAACACAAACACCCTTATGAGTGATGAGAGTGAGGGTGAAGATGAATAAAATGTCTATGATCAAAACTAAAAAGGTATGGATTGGGTTAGGTGAGGAAAATACTTGGAAAGAGTGAGTAAGAAAGGCCTCTCTGTGAAAGTCACATTTTTGCCAAGACATGAAGAATAAAAAGAGATATGCCATGTGTAGAATGGCTGCACACTTGTGTCTGGTATATGGAAAGTGTGTGAAGTGCTTGCATTGAAAAATAACTAGGCCTGTTGGATGAGCTGGCCACTGGAAAAATGTTATGGAGAGGCAGCTATAAACCACTGAACATTTCATGGCTTAAGATTTTGTCATTAAGAGAAGCATTTGTTTCTTTAGTAGAAAAAGAATATTTTCTATATTCTTAAAGAGGTAGCTCCTGTTTATGGTACATTTTTCCTGGGTCTAAACTGCTATTTCATTCTTACAACTTAACTCAGCTACATGTAGCAGACTAACTACATTATCCCGGACAGAAAAGAGGTACGTATGAAAGGCTCGGTCTTGTACCTTTATCCCTAGACAGCCACAAATTCTGTTCAAGAGAGCAAACAGAACCTGTAATGTTGCCTTCTGAAAGTGCCACCTGTGTGGACTATCAATTATGCCTGAGAGTTATGTCCTCTTTTAGAGGCAGTATCTGTGATAATGAGCACTGTGGTCATGCCTAAATAAATAAGTGAGAAAGCCTGGCTCCTCCCAGGAACTATATCATCTTTTGTAATGAGCTGTGATTAGTATATTAGTACATCAGAGATGGCTGAACATTGAGCATATGACAGTTGCTTAGACAGAAGCTACAGCTAGTTCAATCTTGAACTTTTAAAAAGTTTATTTGAGCAATTGGCATAGAGTTGTTGTTTCACC